CTTTAACTCCCAGCGCCATTAGCCTAACCCCGAAAATCCGTTTATCATCCTAGAAAACCTCAAAACGAATATACGGAAACCAAAAGGCAATTCAAATACAAAACAGAACTACAAAAAAACAGTCACAGAAACACTCAAAACACTCGGTCAGGCCAATTGCTCAGAGTCACAGTCAGAGTCATAGTAAGAGTTGGAGTTTCCCGGCCCCCCATGAAGCGTTTTCCTCGCAGATCGGAGCCCTCTTTAGTGTCATAATCACAGGACGTGGCAAAAAGCGTTGACACTTTTTTCACACTTGGCCAGCTCCCACTAGGACGTGGCAGGACGTGGCAGGAGTGGAGCTCAGCCAACGGGGAGCAGCTGGCAATGGGGCCAAGTCACAGCGCAAATGACTTTGAATTATTTGTTTACCTGGGCGACTGCCTGTTAGCCTTTTACCTGTCAACAGTCGCCGGTGGAAGGTGCAGCAGCAGCCTCTGCTCTCTCATTAGAAGATTATGCCCTTGCGGAGAGTTAAGTCATTTTTGCGGAAAGTTTGGAGAAATATTTATGCTTGAAGTTTGAATGAAGAAAATGTAGTTAATATATTGAGATAAATGCTTAAATTCACTGAAGAGAATCCATCTCATATATGCATGGTAAACCAAACTCAATTAAGGCTTTATTATTAAATGAAACTCTCTATTCCCTTCATTAATATGGCATTTCTGCCATCAAATATTAACTGCTGGTTGTTAGCTTCGCATAAATCTTGAAAACAACACAGTCTCATAAGGGTATTAGAAGCTCCGGCTTATCAAAGATATCCTTTTGGTTGCGGTTGTTTTTGTTATTCTCTCTTGTTTGTGGCCAACACAAGCTCCTCGCACCATTGTGCGTAACAAATCGCAGCCATAAACAGGCAAAAAGGGAAATCCCCCAAGAACACCGACTACTGCCTACAAAATATATCCATTGTGTAAGGAAGGCAGTGAGTGGGGGCGGGGAAGCTGCCATAATAATTCACAATTTTTCACAGTTAAGTGTCAGCGGTTGCGTCGCTCACAATTGCCGGTCTCACTAAGCGGAGGCACTAAATCAACCGAACGAGCGACCAGCAGCGGCAGAAGAAATAAAGCCTAATCCCTGCGTCCTTGTACCACGCGGCGTATGCGCGATATTCGCGCTTGCGGGACAGGTGCAACACCGGCCACAATTACCTGATTATGGTCCATACTGTGGGGGGGACGGTGGGGCAGTGTGTATGCATTTGTCCAGGTAAAAATACGAGAACATCTGGCAGCTTCCGGACAGTGACAGTGACAAGCGCATTAGCCCTTGGCCAAGTGCAATGTTTAAGCAAAAGCAACGAGACTGAATAGTGGAGAATGTTTATATATTTGTAAGTTCTTAAATGATATTACTAATCTTAAATTAAAGTACGTTTAAATTTGAGACTTCACTTTAAGATTTTAATTTAAAAATGCATTTTAATTCTGACACTTGAATTAAGAGTTTTATTTCTAGTAACTTTTTCAGCTTAGTCAAGATTTAAAGGTTTCAAAATAAGCTAAAAATATGCATTTAAAAATGTCAAGGGTCTTCTTCTTTTATAAAACCCTTTGTAAATATAGCTTAACTCATAGTTAATATTATTCGTTTAATTTGAACCTTAAGAATTAATATCCAGCTGTAACAAACTTAAAACGCCACTGTTCTTAAGAACCCTGCTGGCGTGTCATGAGTTTTCACGGCATTTATTTGGATGCCTGGCATTGCCGGAACGCCACTTTAACTGTCACCACCAAAGAAACATCAGAATCCAGGACTCCCAGACTCCAGGACTTCCAGACTCCCAGACTCCAGTCCCAGACATCAGACCAAACAAAAGCCAGAAGCCAGGCGGAGCAACTGCAACTGGGCAGCAAACAAACACGCACTCCACGTCCCGGCTTCCAGCTCCTGCGAGCTGAAGGATCCTGGCTGTGGGGCTACCTTTTGATGTCTGAATACGCATTCAACTCTAAGCTGTCTTCAAAGTTTGATATATGAGCCACAGCACTTGGTCCGAGTCCGTGACTTTAAGGGTGCAATTAAAGTAAGCATCAAACATATAACGCACAAGGGAAATGTGAGTCTGCTGAGCCCTTGACTTTTTGAAGCGATAAATACTTTATTTCATAATTGTTTTAAATGCATTGTTATTTACAAGTTTGCTTTTTTACCCAAAAGCTTCTCAGGTTTCGATAAAATTTAAATTGTGAAGATGAAGACATATTTATAGTCTTGTGAAGGAAAATAAGCTTAATTTTCACAAATTTGTTGACAATTGATTTTCTTTATTTGCCAAAAGTTTAAGCCAATTATTATCTAGTCCCTGGGAAATGAGTAAAACTTCTTGGCACAGAATGAAAACTTCCCCAGCAATCATAGGCGAAAAATACAAGTGAGTTAGAAGTATATCGTTATATGAACTCTATAATATAACCCTTGTGCACTGTCCACTTTCCGCAGCCCTTGGTTTTCCCTCTCATAAAATAGAAAACTTTCGCGCAAAGCTTCTTTTGTTTTCCCCTCTCGGTCTCTTTGCACAACAATGCGAACTCAACTTGGCCAGGAATTATTATAGTATTTTCTAATAAAAGAAAATTGCTATGTGGAATGTAGTCGACAAATAATTGGAGGGCTCCCAGGTGCCATGCAAATAAGTGTACCATAAAATTTATTAAAATTGCTTTGTGTTCGATTGTGCAACAGTTGTGCGCCGCCACAGCGCTTTTATATTTTGTGTAAAGCAAATAAGTTTGCCACAGAGCTTTGTTTGCACTTTCCCCTAGTGCCCCGCCAAGGAAAACTATCAGTTTTGTGGAGAGGAAATGAAGACCCCAAGTGGGAATTCGCTTGAAGCACAGAGAGAAAGTCTTGAAACTCTGATAGAATGTGTACAAAGTTCAAAATCTTCAGTACATTTACCCACAAGCCTAAAGACCACGGGTTAATAAAGTGTAGAAAATATAATAAGGTGAAAATATCAGACAATTCATAAACTTATACTTACTTCTAAACAAAATATCGAATGAACAAATTATTTAGATTGGAAGCTTATTAAATAACCATATTTATTTGCAGTGTAAGAATCATTACTAGAACCGGAAACTTGTTTTTCTGTTCCCAAGTTCCTGCGAGTTGTCTGAGGCGCAAACAAACAGCCAAGTTAGTTGCACTCCCTACCAGTCCCCCGCCCTCGCGTTCAGCCCCCCTTGCCACTCACTCGACGGACTGCAAGTTGCAAGTTTTAAACATTTTCATTAGCGTTAATTAATTTGAAATATTCTTTTTATTTTTGTTGCCCCTGGTAGTCTTTTTCCCCCCTGCCGTAAGTTTGCTGTGCGCAAGCAAATTATTCAACGTGGCTGCTGCGAGCTAAAACCTCTTACGTTGGTCTAAACTAAAAAGCGCATTTAAGGGCAGCGTCAGCAGAAAAGGACCCAGGGCTCAGGACCAGGGAGCCAGGACCAGGACCAGGACAAGGACCACAGGACGAGGCGAAGCAGGGGGGCCTTGCACGGTCGGCTGACCAACGCTAGCCGCAATTTTTAATTACGCGAAAGCCGATCCGCAACAGTTTTGGCTTTATGTTGCGGGAAAAACACCGAGAATGAGCAGGAGGCGGGGGAAAATGCGCTGCTGCTGTGAGGAAAATGTGCAGAATGGGTTAGCCTGTGCTAAGATTTTTCGGCCGCAGGACAAACGTTTAATAAGCAGCGCCGTTATGAGGTCACCGAGTGCCACGACCAGGAGTTGCAGTTCGACTTGGACTTGCTCCTCGCTCGATAAGTGCCTGCCACTGGAAAATCAGGCTTAATTGCCTTGGCCCAGAAAAGCCGCCATCGTTAAGAGCCTTTTCCATCTCATCATAGTTGTCACTCTGCCTTTCCACTCACTCATTGTCTCGAATTTTCTATATTTTCCCTCGTTTTTTCTCTCGCTTTTTTTGAGCTTTTCGCTAAAATCCCTATTAACACTCAGCTGTGATTTTATTAACCAACTTTTGCCGCACTTCTCGACGGCTAAAGAGGCCCTCAATTGAGTTCATAACTTGGCATATTTTGAGAATTTCTTTTGCGCTTTCGCTTTCGGCCAACTTGCTCTCGAGTCCGCCACTTCCCCTCCGACAGGTGAACTTATTAATTACTTCAAAAATACAAAGTTACCTTACCAGTGGCTAACAGAGCAAATAGTTATTTAACTTTGTAAGATGTACGATTCAAATTTGGTAAAAAATTATTCAATTTATTCGTTGAACAATAGATTAGTTACCTTTAATATTTATGTCTACTTGCAACTCGTTATGGAATTGTGCATGTGGAAAAAATGTGTTATATTCTTTTCATGGCTTTAGTAATCCACGAGCGAAACAGCGGCTTAATTAAAGTCGAGCCTGTGAGAGCCCCTTTAACGATGCGGCCTCGAGTCCCCTTCCCCCAGAAGTTTTCCACAAAGGACTCCCTAACTAATGCAGTGAACCGCAGGCCGCAGCTGAACGGGTCCTCGAGTCCTTAGTCCTTTGTCCAGTCGGTGGCACAAACTAAATTATGCTGATAAAACTGGGCGCGCTACAAAAGTCACGTTAATGTGGCTAGAGCGAGGGACAAGATACCCGACTTCCTTCCGGACTCGGAGTACGTGAGCCTGTCCTGTGTCCTGTCCCATCCTGTCCTGCCCCCTCCGGCTGATGCATGCATGTGTGTTCCAGATAGTTCGGATAGTTCCCCTCCTCCCAGGACAAAATTATTTTTGTTGATTTAACTAAATGGCGACAAGTTCAACGAGTGTCGCAGATGAGATTATAAGCGGGCAAGGGGCGGCACGTCCGCAGATGCCAACGGAGCAGGGGCAGAAACCAGGAGCAGGAGGAGCAGTAGCTTGTTCAGCCCAAGGACAAAGACAAGTGGCTAAAAACAAGTGGCTGGGAAACAGTGATTTACAAAAGGATATTGCCAACAGAAGTTGCCACCAAATATATTTAGTTATTTATTAGTTTATTATATGAAAAGAGAATCCAAGAAGGTCAATGTGATGCCAATTAATGACGATTCATCGGAATAAGGTTCATGTATTAAGTTGGGTTCAGTTTCCCGATTTCCTTCATCAGGATATTTTAGGTGGATTCTCTATGGGCTTTTTTCTCGATTCTTCTTCAGATCCTCCTTCAGTTTATTTGAAAAGAGTATCCAAGAAGGGCTTAATGGTGCGAATTAACGAAGATTCATCGGGATAAGGTTTGAGTGATATCTTGGATTCAGTTTGCTGGTTTCCTTCATTAGGATATGACTTAGCTGGACCCTCTATGAGCTTCTTTGCTTGCTTCTTCAGATCTTCCTTGAGTTTCACAAACTCAGCGTCAGGTTTGAGAGATATCTTGGGTGCAGTTTCCTGGTTTCCTTTATCAGGACATGATGTAGATGGACTGAGATTGAGTTTCACAAACTCAGCGTCAGGTTTGAGGGATATCTTGGGTGCAGTTTCCTGGTTTCCTTTATCAGGACATGATGTAACTGCACTCTCTATGGGAATAAGTTTCACAAACTCAGCGTCGCGATTTGCGAATTCAATGTCCTTAAGACAAGCCTGTACATCGAATTCAATGTTTTTGTTCTTAAATTTGATATTACCCTGTAATTCGATTAATTCCATCACGATCTCTAGTGTCTTTTGTTGAACCTTAATGATGGTCTTCTGTTCGCGATTAGAAATCGATTTTTTTATTTTTTCTTTTTGAATATTATTCTTTTTAATCTGCGTTGTATTTTGAATAGGGTAAAATATAACTGCGAGATTTTAAAATATTTTCGCACTTACTGAATCATCATCATTCTTATTAGAACGATCCGTTTTCGTCATCTTCACGAACTTATTATTAGACCTTTTAAAATTTGTTTATTACGACTCAAAAAAAAAGAACAAAAAGAACTTACAATTCCGATATTTTAATGAAATTTTTTTTTAGAATAATTTTCGGAGCTAAAAGCTGACTTCTCGTTGTCGTAGTTGGAATTCAACTGATTTCCTTAATGATTTGAACCTACACACATTGACTTTTGGGGGAAATAAAAGCAAGAGCCTACTAAGATTTTTTAAATTTGTTAGCAATTACTTTCTATATATATATATTTATTCAAAAATTATCTAACCTTGCATGGTATTATAATTTTACTGGCTTTTTAAATGCTGTTCTCCCTGCAGCTCCAGCTGTGAGAATACTGGCCTTTAAGACTGTTTCTAGTCGGGCTAAGCATATGTGTCCCTGACTAAGCTTTGGCCTAAACAAACACAGACGGCTAAAACGGATGGACGGATGCAGAATCCGCTCGAGCGATGGCCAAAGTTTGAATAGCTGGGAACGACGCCTTCCATATTGAATTAAACGTTTTAATATGCGGCCAGCTCTCAAATTTATAGTTTGGCTTTGAATTAGCATACGAGCACGTATGTATGTGTGTGCTAGAATTGGGGGAATCCCGGGGAATACACACACACACACACAGAGGCGGAAATGCAGATGGCGGCCATTTCTTTTCGCTGGCTAAACATTCGACAGGCAAGGCCGAACCCAATTTGAACAAATTGTGTGCACAAGGGCGCTCATCCATATGTGCGAAAAAGATGGTGAGAGGAGTGGAAAATGTTAGGAAAATAGAGAGGGAACTTTAGGAAAGGAGCGAGGCAGGAGTTTGGAGCAGAGTTAGTGTTTATCTTTGCCGTTTTGCCTCTCATCTAAATTTTCCACTCCATTCTCGTTTTCTTTGAGACTTTAAGCCGATTCCAAGTTCTCGCCCCTTCCCCCAAGTTCAGGTTTTAGTAGTCTTTAATCTGTTAATTTTAAACCAGGGTGGGCTAAAATATCAAATTTAAACGCTTATTTATTAGACAATACGAATCTGTAACAATTTTTACAATAATTTTCTTTAGAAATCGATCATTGGAAACATTAATATCTTCCCCATTTAAGATATCTTTTTGGCAGAACTTCCATTAACGTTGCTACACCCTAATGCACACCCACACCCTTGTAGATATCCAGAGAGGAAAAGAAGGAAATACAAAAAAAGGAAAACCCTTTTGCAAGTCATTCGCATTCATTCCACTTTTCCCTATCAACGCTTGCGCTCACTGGGCTGCCCGTTTGTGTCATTTGTCATGCACAACGTGACGTATGCGTAATGATTCATTAACAAGCCAATTTGCCCGGCCATTCTACCATTCCAGCCACTGCTCTCCTCTGCCCCGCCTCACGCTTCATTTGCCATTACGTCGCCTCGATGGACTGATTGTTGTTGCCGCTGACAGTTTGTGTTTATTACGGACTTTTAATTTATTTCATTACACAAAATTAGCTCGCCTATCGTCAGCGGGGAATCTTAACGCGCGGCGAGTGGAGCGTGCAAGGACGACACTTAGGCAAATTAATGCCAAAAATATGTACAGACAGGACTCGGGGCGAATCAAAATCGAAATCAAAAGACACAGACGCAGTTCAAAGTAGCGCCTGGCGACGCCACGAATCCTGTTCGTCCGCCTAAGCCAAGGAGCATCGCGATAAGCAAAGGATAATGCGGCCGTGTAGATTCTGTTTTCTTTCCCCTCCTCCCTTTGCCTTGCCTTGGCTTCACTTAAAAAAAGAGGACGAAAAATCAAAAGCTATAGATGAGGGGGGAGGAACAACAACAACATCAAAAATGTAAACGAAATAAATACCGAGGAGGGAAGGCTGACATAACAAAGGCCAAAGCTATCCCTTTCTATTTTCCCTCCAGCCATTCTGTCTCTAGGCCCTTTTCCACACTCCTTCGATGGCTTTTCTTGTCAGTTGAGCTCTTTTTTATTTCCGACACTCGTTAGCATAAAAAATCGGGTATATCTGATATGTCTGGTAGCTTTAAGAGCTCTCCTATCTCATTTTCAACTCTCATATGACCCTTGGATATTTTGAGGATATTGATAGCAGAAATTACATTCGGATTTTGAAAAGTCTACCTGAGAAAATAATTACATACTCACGGGTTCAAAAATCGTTTGAAAACATATCTAAAATTATGAGATAGATTTCCTTATTGGGAAACTACGATTTCTTTTGTAATAAAAATGCTACAAAATACCTTTGAAGGAGTCGAGTTCAGGGATATCCTTTAAATTTTAAAAATGATTACTGGTAACTATACTGAAGAAGGTATCGTTAAGAAATTTATATAATTTACGGTCTTGAAATTCTTACTTTATATATGATTTTTTTAAAAATTATTTTCCTGATCTACAAAAAATAAATATATATATTAGAGGCTTCATTTTTACCTGCAAATAATTTCTCCTCATTATACGAGGCATCTTGCAGTCTGAAAAACTCAAGGAACTAACTTATTTGCGCCCGAGTCCTGTCTCTTTTCGGTTGTTTTTGATTTCATTTTTTTTAAGGTAAAGGATTATTTGCTTGGTTTATTCCTTTGACTCTGTGTTTTGTTTTGTCTTTGGTTTGTTTTGTCGGCTCCTTCACATTTCGTTTGCCGTTCTGCTCCTGCGGTTTTTTCCGCCATTTTCCCCTTTGACCTCGGTCCCCCGACACCCCCCCCCCATGGTTTATTTGCGCGCCTAAGCACGACCTTGGAAGTGTGATGGTGTGCGTTTAGAGTGGGAGTGTGTGTGTGTGTATGAGTGTGTTTATTTAGGTCGCCTTTTGGGTTAAAGCAAAGCCGGTTCTGTTAGTTTAGTTTATTGCTTAGCAGCTGATTTTGGTTTATTAATTTCACATTAAAGCGCAGGGGTTTCCCTCTTCTTTTTTACAATTCCGAACCAAGGTTCTGGACTTAAGCTGTTATTTATTAAAGGGAGTAAAAGAAAATAGAAAATTGAGGGGAAATTGTCATTCTAAAGGAACATACTGAATTATAAATATTTAAATTAATTATTTATTTTTGTATTCTTTACTTTCAAAACGTTTTTTACCCGAAAGCGAAAAGTTTTATGAGAACTAAGAGCTATATTAGCCTTTCAGTTTATTATTGGATGAAGTAAATTGATCAGACCTAAGTCCTGACTGCTTTGCAAACGTTTTTCTAAAATTATAATTCCCCTGAAAGGATAATAATAATAATAATACCAAGAACTGCTCTCCGAGTTGCCATCAAAAAGTCGATCTGCTGCAATCTGGGCGGGGCATCTTTATGCTGCGCATTAATTTCTGGCTCATATCCAATCTGCGGGGCATCTTTCGAGCTCGTCAAATGTCTCAATTCCATAAAAATGCAAATTGTTAGGAGACGGCAGAGAGCACTAAGGCTTCCTGTCTGTCATTAAACGGGGACAAAAGCGAGCTGAAATTGCACGAGAATTATGACCTCTATGAGCCAGTCAGTCTCTCAGTCTGTCAGTCTTTCAGTCTCTCAGTCTGTCAGTCGGCGGGGCTGTAAGTGGGTCACAAAGTGGCTGGGAACTTTCGCTGCCCTCAGCGGATTTTTATCCCAAAGATTTATGAGCTGAGACATGGAATGATGACCCGACCCTCAATCCCGATCTCCGGCTTTGCAGCCTGGACACTTTTTATGCTCCGCCACCTGCGGTTATCCGGAGGGAAACGCCAACAACGCAAACAAAAAGAAAAAAAAACGGAAAGAATTACAACAGTCAGGAGGAAAACCATCAAGCATAAAGGGCTAATAAACTTGGCTGATTTGCATAAGAACAAATGTGGCCATTGGCTAAGCATTTCTTATCAGAATGTAATTGGATTTCTCTGTGTGTTGGTGTGTGCGGCCAACATTCTTTTGATTAAAAATTTCCCAGCCAAAATATGTGGCAAGGCAACTACATCGCTGCGAGGAGAAGTTAAAAAAGCATGTGCGGTTTTTGGTAATAAATTTTACAAAAACCAACACCGCAAATAACAACAGCAACATAGGAGGAGGCCAAAGCGGAAAAATAATCAAAAATAAAATCATAAGTGTAAAGCAACAGCAAAAATGATCACACAGTAAAAAATATATATTTATTTTTATTAATAAAGGTATTTGTTATGTTATTTAACAGCACTCATGAATTATTCCAAGTCTTGAAATCACATTAACCATGATTAAAAATGGATTTTTATACCTTTTTAAGGATATGAATATTTTACTCAGAAGCTTGTAACGATACAAAGGAGGCATTTCCGACCCTATAAATATTCTTGATCAGAATCAAAATCCGAGTCATTCTAACCATGTCTGGTCATAAAATAAAATTTTTAAATTTTTTCGAAAATCGAAAAATTTTATAAGGGGTTACATCATTAAAATTGTCAAAAATTGATAAAAATTTGGATTTTTTAAACCGTTAATTTAAGTATACAGTTTTATTAATTTAATAAAAACTAACATAAGAGCGATTTCCGAATTGAAATTAATGCTTTTTTGGCTTAGTTATGAGATTTCTAAACTTTGATTTGTAGAACAAATTTTCATATAAAATTTAGTTAAATATTGGGAAAGGAGTTGTGAAGGAGTCATTTCCGACCCTATAAATCATATATATTCTTGATCAGCATCAAAATCTGAGTCGATCTGGCTATGTCCGGCAAAAATTTATATTTTTCTAAAATTTAAAAATTTTATAAGGGGTTACATCGTCAAAATTGTCAAAAAATGTAAAAAACGAAAAATTCTAAAATTTTAAACTGAGTATGCAGATTTATTAACTTATGAAAAACTAACATGGGAAAGCTTTCCGAATTAAAATGTATGCTTTTTTGGCCTAGTTATCAAATTTTGAAAAATCTAAAAAACATTTCTAGATCGACTTGGCTTTTATTTTGATTATCAAGCTACTGCCTATAATTATAATACCCTGAAAAAAATAGAAAAATACAGTTTCTAAAATTATTATTTACAGCATGATATTACTTTTGCGGTTTAAGTTTTATTTAACCATTTAATAATGATCATCACAAATAAATAAAATTCCAAAAATTATAACTAACACGATTGGCTTATCAACTGTTTATTTTAATTTTTCAA